TCTGGCAATTGGGATAAGTCCCAGATGACTGGAAAAGGGCAAATATAGTGCCCATCTTTAAGAAAGGGAAGGAGGATCCAGGGAACTACAGACCAGCCAGCTTCACCTCAGTCCCTGGCAAAATCATGGAGCAGGTCCTCAAGGAATCCATTCTCTAAGCACTTGGAGAAGATAATTGGGAACAGTCAGCATGGATTCACCAGGGGCAAGTTGTGCCTGACCAACTGGATTGCCTTCTATGATGAGATGAGTGACTCTGTGGGTGCAGAGATAGCAGTGGACATGATATACCTTGATTTTAGCAAGTGATATATCTTGACTTTTAGTTTCCCACAGCATTCTTGCAAGCAAGCTAAGGAAGTTGGGTTGGATGACTGAACTGGAAGGTGGATAGAAAGCTGGCTGGATTTTTGAGCTCAAAGTGTAGTAATCAATGGCTTGATGTCTAGTTGGCAGCTGGTATCAAGTGCAGTGCCCTGGGGGGTCAGTCCTGGGGCCAGTTTTGTTAAATATCTTCATTAACGATCTGGAAGATGGCTTGGAGTGCACTCCCAGCAAACTTGCGGATGACACCAAGCTGGGGAGTGTACTAGATACACTGGAGGGTAGGACTAGGATTTAGAGAGACCTCTATAAATTGGAGGATTGGGCCAAAAGAAATCTCATGAAGTTCAACAAAGACAAATGCAAAGTCCTGCACTTAGGAGGGAACAGTCCCATGCGCCTGTGCTGGCTAGGGCGGACTGCCTGGGCAGCAGCTCTGCAGAAAAGGACCTGGGGGTGACAGTGGACAATAAGCTGGATATGAGCCAGCAGTGTGCCCTTGTTGCCAAGAAGGCTAACAGCATCCTGGGCTGTTAATAGGAGTGTTGCCAGCAGATGGAGGGCAGTGATTCTCCCCCTGTATTCTGCACTAGTGAGGCCACAGCTAGAGTCCTGTGTCAAGTTGTGGGCCCCCCACTACAGAAGGGCCGTGAACAAGTTGGAGAGTCCAGCAGAGGGCAACAAAAATGGCTGGGGGGGCTGGGGCACATGACTTGTGAGGAGAGACTGGGAGCTGGATTTATTTAGTCCAGAAGAGGATTTAATAGCAGCCTTCAACTCCCCACAGGAGGGTTGCAAAGAGGATGGAGCTGGACTGTTTTCAGTGGTGATAGATGACAGGACAAGGAGCAATGGGCTCAAGTTGCAGCAAGGGAGGTTTAGGTTGGATATTAGGAAAAACTCTCTGACTAGGAGGGTAGTAGAGCATTGGGATGGGTTATCTAGAGAGGTGGTGGAGTCTCCATCCTTGGAGGTTTTTAAGACCCGGGTAGACAAAGCCTTGGCCGGGACGATGTAGTTGGGGCTGGTCCTGCTTTGAGCAGGGGGTTGGACTAGATGTGACCTCCTGAGGTCCCTTCCCACCCTCATTTTCTGTGATTCCGACTGCTAGATCGGTTTCTTACTGAGGGTTGTGATGCAACATCAAGATAGCCGAATTCTTAGTGAGCACATCATATGGCAGCAGGAGCCAGCCTTTTTGGCAGGCACGCCACAAATTAGCCCCACACCTTCCCTGATCACCACTCTGATCCCCTTCCCCTGCCCAATCGGCTGCTCTGCTTCTGCTCCCTGCATGACCTGCTACTTTGCCTTCTGTTCCCTGCCCTGCTACTGTGTTCCCTGCTCAATTTGCCACGTGCCCCACACAGAAGCTGTCCATGCCACAGGTTGGCCAGCCCTATTGTAGGCTAGTACTGTACTGCTTTCTTTGGGAGAAGGAGCTCTCTGCAAGTATATAACATTGAGCCCCATTTGGCAGAGGCAGGTCATTTAACACGTGTATCGCTGCTGTTTTGTTTCTTAACCTTCTTCCATACGATGGCCCAGTGCCGGGACCTAGAGAACCATCATCACGAGAAGCTGCTGGAGATCTCCATCAACACCTTGGAGAAAATTGTCAAGAGCGAGTTTGAGGAGGAGATACCCGATGATGTTCGGATGGTGAGGACACTCGCACGGGGCAGAAAGCAGCTCTCCTTCAAAGTGGGAATCCCAGGCTTGCGGGAAGAGGGGGTGCAGCCTGTTCCCAGGGGTTCAGATGCTGTAGCCAGAGGAAATGGTTGTGGGGAAGCTGCCATTGCAAGATGCACATCAGCTGTTGTGATGCAACTGTTGCCTCTCTCTGGCCCTACTATATGGAGCTAAGGCACTGTAACTTTTACACCGAATGAAACAAGGTTGAAGTTTCAATACTTTGGCTGCACTTCTGTCACTGTCACATGCCCCAGACTCCTTTAGATTTTCTCCCATACTCCATGTTCTAGCTCTGTAGGATCCCCCCTATAATACTTCTTTTAGGGCTGGAAAACCTACACACAGGCTTCTCAGAGACTCCTCAAAGCTGCTCGTGGCTGCCCAAGGAATGCTGTCCTAGTATTGTTTCAGAGGAGACATCTAGTCCCAATTAACCACATCTCTCTGCCCAGCACCCAGCAGGACGACACTCCTAGCCAGCACCCTCCCTGCCTAGCGCTCAGCCTGAGAGGCAGAAATAGCTCTCTTCAGCATGCTTCCCTCAAGTAAGGGGGAAGGAAACAAGTGACCTTGTGCACTGTACAGTCAGAGACTAGAACCTCCTCCTCAACCGCTGGGCAGGGTCAGCTCCTGGCTTTACAGGCTGTGATCCTGGCTGTGGTTAGGCACTGAAACAGGGTGGCCTGTCCTCTTAAGAGGAGGCAGCCAGCCTGGCTGAGGAGCTGCAGCTGTGTGAAGGCTAATGATGGGGTGACACACGGGGTGTCAGAAACCCCAGCAAGCAGAACCAGAGGCACAGAGAAGCATCAGAACAGGAGGCTCCTGGGTGCTAGGAGAGCAAGCCCACTCTAGGAAGACCGTAGCCATGAGGGTCTCTCCCAGTGCCCGGGACAACAAGGCTTTTTTTTTTTTTTTTAAATGAAAAGACTGTATGTGACTGGGGCTCACGGAGACGAGCGGGGAGCAAAAGCCTGGTGGAAGAGTGCCTGAGGCAGCAACCTGTTGCAAAAACCCTTGCCAGACACCTTGTCTAGTGTCCATTTCCCGCTGAGAAGTGGATCTGCACTTGTTTAACAGCCCCACTAATCTGTAGGCAGAGAGCCATTACATTGAATAGAGGCCAGTCTCCCTTTACAGCTGCAGGGCAAGATGAGGTTCTGCGAGGGGAAGCTGGAGCGTGAATGCCCCCCATGCAAATCACCCTTTCCCAGTGTGATTACTCAGGGCTGCTGGGGCACTTGGCCCGGTGCTGCTTTGAGCTGGGGGAGCAGCAGAGGTGTCCTGAAGAGGGCCAAGAGCTGCTATCACTCATATCAGGGAACATATTTCCTTGCCTGGCAGTGTTATTGGGAGCCTTGCTGCCATACATCCAGTTCTGAGACCTGGGCTGTTGTAGCATTGCTGTCTAATCAGGCCGCACCTCGTCTGTTCTGTCTCGCTCCCCAGCTGTTTGTGGACAAGGACACCATTGTCAACGCAGTCAACGCCTCCCACGACATCCACCTCCTGAAGATCGATAATAGGGAGGACGACATAATCACCAAGGCCAACAGCTGGCAGGCTGTGGTGATAGAGGAGGTAAGGATGCCCCTGCAGTGACGAGTGGCTGCATGGTGAAGCCTTGAAAGTGCATAGTCCTGCCGTGGCAGGGTGGAGAGGAAGGTAGCAGGGTCCACCTGGGAACCCAGTGACTCCCAGCTTTCATGGGGCCCCTTCTGCACTGCAGCAGGCGAGTGGTGGTTGCCCCTGACCCCATTCAATTCCCACTGCCTCAGGTCCACAAGAACGAGATTGCACGAAACCGCAGCCGTGTGAAGGAGATCAACCAGTACATTGACCACCTGCAGGAGGAGCTTGACAACCTGGAGAGCCTGGAGCCTGTGGAGTAGCACTGCCTGCGCCAGGAACAGTGGCCATCCTGCAGGGACTCAGGCAGCGGTGACATGGTTCCCCTCACAGGTGCATCCCAACCTCTCTGCCCGAACCCCTGTACATAGCCCAGAAAGGGGCTTAGGACTGTCCCCCACCCCACACGCACCTCTCCCCAAACACGCAAATAAAGATACTATGTTTGAAGTGCCGCTGAAGAGAAGCTAAGGGGACTGGCTGGAGCCAGAGGCAAAGCCAGCTCCAAACAAAGCGAGGGGCAGCTGGAACAGGCTGAGCTTGAGTCCCACTGGGAGCAGGATGTCACACCTGAAAGGTGGGCTCCTAATACTGGGTGTGCAGGTAGCAAACAACCCACCCAGTCCCTGGGCTGTGGCTGCAATGGGGAGGTAACAGGTTGACCAAACACCTGCCCTCACAGCTAGTCCTAGCAGGTTTCCAGCCCAGCAAGCATGCAGCTTGCTGATGCTCCACCCTCCTGGGAGCCTCATCTTGCAGTCCAATTGGCACAGCAGGGAGGGAAATCGCTGTCTCAGCAGGAGCTCACGCACTGCTGCTCACCACAGCCAAGTCATTAACTCCCCTCCTTGCTCAGCAGCTGCTTCACTTTGCAGGCAGCTCTGAAGCCTGACGCTGGACCCTGGCATTGCTGGAGGCAGCAGCAGGGAGGGGAGGGGGGAACTTGGGGGACACGGAAGGAGGTGGCAACACAGGCATTTAGGGAAGGGGCCAAAGCCTCCCTTAATAGCACTGGGACCGCATAACTTGGCCCAGGGCTTTGTTGACGATGCACTGTCCTCCCCTGGCAGGGCTGGAAATCAGCTTTGCCCCCAGCACTCGGAAGCCTCAGCCCTGCTGGTGTGGAAACGGCACTGGCTGGCTCAGGATGCTCCCCCTTCCCCTCCCCGACTGGATAGACAGACCCTGGTCAACAGGGACAGGAACCTGGGAGAAGCAGACCCGGTGGTCAGCCAGTGTTCACACTCCCTTGGTGCTGCTGCCCCCAGCAATCCCTAGCCTGTGGCTGTCCTGGCACTCTGCAATAGCCAGGCAGCACCACGGAGAGGTAAAAATAAATGGCCACACGTGGCAGCTTCCAGTACTGGCCACAGGGCCTTTAATCAAACCAGGAGAGGCTCCAGCAGACCTACACTGGGTGAGGGGTGCACACAGCCCCATCCATGCCCTGCCTGACCGCACAGATCCCTCTGGATTTAGCATTACACGCAGGTAACAGCTTGGTGGATCTCACAGCACACGGCGGATGAGAGAGGCTATGGCACCGGGATGGAGAGAGAAGTGTAGGATTTCTCTAATTCACGACAAGCCCCAGCAACAGCCAGGGCTGGGACGTTTAACACCAGGGCTTCACCTGGACCTCCCCTCCTACAGAATGGGGGGTGCGGAGAGTTGCTGGCATGGCTTGGCCAGTGCTGGGCTAGGATCCTCAACAGGTCAGGCCTGCTCGCTGCTGGGCCAGCTGGAACAACGTTCTGGGAGGGACAGGGCACCACTGGTGGCAAGCAAGTGGCTCTGACCCGCTGCATTCTCCTGCCTTGTGTCCACTACCTCCCTGGGCCTGAGTCTTGCAGCAGCTTGTGCTTCACTGTCGAGCTCTCCAAGCAGAGGTGGGTGAAGAGGACCCCAGCAGCCGCGCGGGCACGCAGCTCGTGCAGGTCAAAGTCATGGGCCCACTCCACCTTGCCCCAGCGCTGGATCTGGAGAGGGAAGAAGGGGTCAGTCCACCCACCAGGCAGGTGAACACAGCTCTCAGCCTCCATGTCCTTTCCAGGAAAGGCATTTCTCAGTGGTGGCACGAGGGACAGCCTCCGACCAGGGACAGTCTGTGCCAGGCCTGAGTTTTCTGCACAACCAGGTTCCTGCTACTAACACAGGCCATCTCTCTTCTGCAGAGGGAAGCCACAGCCCCCCACAGAGCACAATGGGCTGTTTGGCCCAGCACAATGCCCCAGCCAGAGCTCTCCTGAGCCCAGTGAAGCAGTGGGCACCCAGCCAGGCAGAACACCATCCTGCTGCTGGTTATTTGTGCTGGGAAAAATATCTGTCACAATGGGATTACGCTCTCTGACTTAAAGAGCAGCTCCAGAACTGTTTACCTGGTACTCCTCCTCCAACCGAGACAGCAGCACAGCTTCCTCAACTGTTATGTGCCTGTCTATCAGCCCCATGGACAGGATAAAGGATTTCAGCTGGTTGATCACGTATTCTATCCCTGCAGGGCATGAAACAGCAAACCAGAACCACCATTACTTAGGCAATGCATCAGCAGCATCTTTGTGCACGCTAGGCAGTGCTCTCCTGGGATCAGGTAGACGAGCTATCCCCAGCCCCTTGGATCTGCACGCTCCAAACCCACAGCCACCAAAAAGCCAGTGTGACATCCTCTGTCTTATTAGAACCCTTCACTACTGCAAGCAGCTTCCTCTCCAGCTGTGAGCAACCTCCCTGGCATTACAAACGTGTCTGCCAGGAGAGGATGAAATCAAGTGCTCTGGCTTGCACTGAAGTCAGTAGGTATCCGGGTGCGGAGCACCCCTGAATATCGAGTGACTGTACAAGGGAAGCAGGCAATGAGGCAAGAATCCTGCTCAACCTGAGCTAACAGTGAGGGCTGGGGCCAGCAGCAGACTCAGGAACACAAGAGGTGTGTCCACCAGCTTTGCCTTCCCTGCCTGCCCCCCGCCCCAAGGAACAGAGAACAGACATGGCCAAGCACATTTGGGGAGGACCTGGGGGGACCACACGTGGGCAAAGGAGCTGTTTCTCCACAGCACGGTGCTCATAGCTTGGCTCAGTGGTGCAGCAAGATGCCTGAGGGTTGTGGCAGTGTGCGTAGTTCATACCAGCTTTACTCCAAAGCGGGAACAACCAATAGGTTGAAGAAGGGATGCCGAGAGCCAGATTTAACGACGAACAGGGAGAAGATTTCAAAAGGTGGCATAACTTTTGACCCCTGGCATGGCCCAGTCATGGCTTGCATAGTGCTGGGCTTGGGCAAGGAGGTGGGCTTGTTCTCTGGAACTGGGGCAGCAGCACATGGCCAGGGCAACCAGGCTGCCATATGATGGTGGGTCGCCTTTGTGAGCTAAAGGAGATACCTATGCATTTGGGATAGCTCAGACCCAGGGAATTCCCCTTCTCTACTAACAGGGCATAACACGCTGCAATGTAAGTTCACAGAGCCCCCTGTGCCAGGCCTAGACAGGCCCTGCCCTGAGGCAGTGGAAGAAAGTTTGAGGTGGGATGTCTCCTTCTCCACCCCATTGATCCAAAGCACCCTCCTCTGCTTAACTGGCTTGTCATTTGCCTCTGGGGGAGGGAACGTTTTCCCTGTGGGCTGATGCCTGGAAGGACAGACATGGAGAAGCTGCTCCCTTTACCTTGCAGCGCCCACATGTTGTACGAGGCCAAGTGGCTGCTGAAGGTCTCTCTGGTGCTTGCAGGGATGGTGGGCCCAGTGATGCTGGTCGACGAGCCAATTGTCACGTTATACCTGGAAGAGTTGGATGTATGCTGGCATCAGGAACCCCACTGCTGTGGCAGGCTGGGCTCGCTCCATGCCCCCTCCAGCCCAGCACCCTAAGTCTTGCGACACCATCCTCCCCTCCTTGTTTGCTGCTGGGCCCCTGAAGCCATTAAGACCAGCCTCTGTCCTTCAAAGCCTCCTCAGTACCCCTCTATGCCCTCCTCTCAGGGCTGACGAGCTGAACACACAGCACACTGCCCCACTGCTCATCTGAGCTATTGCAGGGATGAGCGCCTTAGGCACACCACAGAAAAGACAGAGCCTTTGGCTTCCTACCTTTTCTCTGCCCACTCGATCATGGGGTCCCACTGGTTCCTCTGCAGCTCCACCAGGGTAGCTGGCTCCTCCACCCTGTAACTAGGACCACCAGAACCAACCGTCGCAGACAAACCACCAGCTGTCTTAATGCCATGTGCAGCAAAACCCCCCTGGAAATGCAAGCCCCTTCCTGGGCTGGCAGGAGATGCCAGCTTGCAAGGAGCACAGGGCCGCCCTCAGTTCCACACTGGCAGAAGCTGCAGGCCCCACAGGGGCCACCTGTGGGCGCAGCTACCTGCCAGCCCATGTACCACGTGGAAGGGATGCAGCCTGCTTCTGCTCTGTGGTAAATCCAGCAATGTCTGTGGGGTTCCAGTGGAACAGTGTTCACAGGTCAGGCAGCCAGCTCAGGCTGCAGCATGAACAAACCCATCAGGCCACCTCGGAGCCCCAAAGCAGCTCAAGCAGGTCTCTGCTCCGAGTTTAGCCTAGAGGCCAAGGACTGGTCCAGCCCTCAGCAGTCCCAGAGCTCAGGGGCAGGAATATGGGCTCAGCTGAGGTAAAGGAGTGCTCAGGGCAAATGCAGGGTAACACCAAGCGCAGACAAGGAAAAAGGCAAATCCAAGCTGCCGCACTAGCAGATACTCAGGACCACCAGCAACACCTCATGGGGAGAAGCGCAGGCCTGGGAGAGCTCCTCAGGCGCACAGAGCGGGGAGGAGATAGTGGCCTGCTGGTGCAGAAACAATGCAGGGTGGTTTGGGTCGAATAGATCCTCCTGGAAGGGATCCCAAGTCCCACCACAGCCGGTCCGGCCTGGCCTGGCCAGGTGTTCCCCCAGCGAACAGCAAACCCGTCAGGTCTCCTACCAGATTGTGTCCGTTTCCAGGAACTTAACAGCCGCTTGGATGAGCTGCGTCTTGTCCCGCTGGGTTGGGTTGTCCAGAGCCGTGTTGCACAGTGTGGTCTGCAGACAAGAGGCAAGAAGCAGAGTTTCATAGATGTCAGGGGCTGGAAGGGACTTTGCAACATCATCAGGTCCAGCGCCCTGCACCCGGCAGGAAAGACAACGGGGGGTCAGACGACCCCAGCAAGGAGACCATCCAGTCTCCTCTTGAAGATTTCCAGGGTAGGCGATTGCACCAGCTCTAGAGGGAGTTTATTACACCATCTGGACACCCTGACCGTGAAAAATTTTTTCCTAATGTTGAGCCTGAAACAGTCTCCCAGGAGTTTATGGTCATTTCCCCTGGTTTTCCCCAAGGGTGCCCCGGTGAACGGTTGCTCACCAAGCCCTTGATGTAATCCCCTAATGCAGCAATAAGCTGCTACCATGTCCTCTCCTAGCCTTCTCTCTCCCAGGCTGAAGAGTCCCAGGTCCCTCCGCCTCTCCTCGCACGGCTTGCCGTGCAAGTCTCCGATCTCGCGGGCGGCTCTTTGGACTCTCTCAAGCTTTCCCACGTCCTCCTTGAAGCGCGGCGCCTGGGACGGGATGCCGTGCTCCAGCTGTGGCCTCACGGAGGCTGAACAGAGCGGAAGAACCCCCTCCTTGGCTTCGTTAGGGAGGCCGGAGAGTTTCACGAGGCCACGGCCCCTAGCAAGGGACAGAGGAGAGACCGAGCCGCGATCTGCGCACGCGGGGGCAGCACAAGAGTCGTGGCAGGCGCGTCCTGAGACGGGACGGCCGCGGCGCTCACCAGGTGCATGGCGTACAGCTGGATGGTGTCCCGCTGGGCATCCCACTCGGTGGCCACGGCCACGGCCAGGGCCTCGCTCGGCACCGCGAAAAGCTTGGCCTGGGGGGTCCTCAGCTTCCGCTGGTCCAGGTTGATTTCGAAGCCCCCTGGGCGGGCGGGCAGAGGGGGAGGTCTGCGGGGCCGCAGGGAGGGAGGGC